CAGCCCCGTCCAGTGCAACCCCACACACAAGCAAAAACCTTTCATTCTGATTCTGGCCTTCCCGTGGAACCTTTCCCGGAAACCCTTTCATTTTGACCCTGCTCCCACGAAACCCTGCTTTTCCAGCCCCGTCCAATGCAACCCTACACACAAGCAAAAACTTGTCATTCTGATTCTGGCCTTCCCATGGAACCTTTCCCGGAAACCCTTTCATTTTGACCCTGCTCCCAGGAAACCCTGCTTTTCCAGCCCCGTCCAGTGGAAGCCCATTCTGATTCATTCTTATTCGCCCCAGAGACTTTTCACAACTGAAATGAGTGGCCGATGCAAAAACCCATCATCCAAACCTTCCATTACATGAGCTGGTGGTGTTTCATGGGCACACATCGATGAAGACCGCGTTTGTTTTCTTTGGACGTGTCATTGTGAGGTTGGCATGAGCGCCAATTTCAGGCGGGCGAGGAGTACAACATGTGCTGGTCTTGAATTTACCGGCAGTCGCGGCATGCTTGAACGAGCCAAAGCAGGGCAAGGCCATTTGCTCAAACCTGTGGTTGATGCAAAACAAAGGCTGGTTTCAAACCACTATAGTGTGCTTACTCTTTCCTGGTGCCTAGGTGCGCCACGCGAAGAAAGTTGGGGCGGGCCAAAGCATACTGTGAAGACAGAAGCGTAGTGGACCGGAACACAAGAGCCATTCCTGCAAGGATTCGTGGATATGGCAGACGAAAACCTGAGGCAAATATTCACCCCTGCATGCAAAACAGTGAAAGATCCGTGTGGCTTAGACCTTGAACAACCATCCACTCAAGATCATTCAAGTTCACAAAGACTACGCAAAGGGCATCGACGCTGCCCGGCGGAAGATGTTTCCGCGCTCTCGGCCCTGTGATGACTACGCGCACATGCGCAGAGCAGCATATACGACTTTGCGAAAACATCTTGGCGGCGCAGAGGTGCTCAATGTCAAACGTTCAAGCAGTGGCAAGAGGACAAGATTCCATGCCAGTGCTCACCGCGAACTGGGCAGGACAGACCTTTTTTAATGGATCCTTCCACCGGAGCGGAGATCGATAGGGACAATTGCGTGAAGATTTTGACCTACTATCACTATCAAATTGATATACTATAGGCCAGGGCAAAAGAACATGATCCAGCAAAATGATGCCTGGTTTCCGTTTCTTTCTAAATTACTGAATATGATCAGCCTTATGTGGGTGGTGACCATGTTAGTCATATCATAATTTTTGATGGTTCCTTTATCTGACCACTCTGGTTATACGATAATAAGCAGCAACACTTACGCCCACTCGTCTGGTGCCATCCGTTCAGCTTTTTGATGCTCTTTGGCCACAGGCCTTTGCATGGCTTGCAAGAGCGCACTTGTCAAGGTTTTTACCGCCATAGCTGACCAGGTTGATGTGATTGTTTGCGATGCCAACCTGTTTACAAAGTGCAAGTTCAAGAATGATCGTCATTCCGATCCTGCCACCGGTGCCGTTCTCGCTCGATCAGATCATCCTCGCTCGATCAGCCACATCAGCGCATTATACGTACAACTAGGAATGCAGCACGCTTGCAACGGAAACCATCCTTGCACTTGAAATCAAGGAAGCGGATGTGGATTGCCTGCTTCAGATCATTCTGAACCATGGCAAGGACAAATATTGCAGAAGACCTACTTTGTCAAAATTCCGGGCGACGCTGTGCCACACCACTGTGTAGCAACTGAAGAAACCAACGCGTTCCCTTTTAATGCGCTCCTTAAAGTTCCTTATCTTTCCTTGCTGATCCGCATAAGTACTAGTAACTTCCTATTGGTTCAGGGCGTCCTGAAAGAACCTTCCTACACTTGGCAACGGTGGGCGAACTATGCCTGAATGAGACAAACACAACGACGAACATCAGGACGACCATGTTCCTTTCACCACACCCAATGCCGGCATAGCCTTTACGGCCATGGGTCTTGGTTGGTTATATTATAAGATACCCACCGCAAACGAACATGGAATCTGTCAATTGTCCGGTGGAAGGCCCTTTTCCTTTACAACCCAGCGGTTTTGGGGTTCCGCACCTCCAATTGAACAAGTTCGGTCATCTGTACCTGGCATCAACGCCTCTATTTTTCCCATTAAGCTCGGACATGATCGCCAAAAAATCCTCAATCATGTGCTGAGCCTGCAGTTAAAGAGATCTCTAGTGAAGTGGTGATCTCTACTTGGATTGGGTTCAGCCGAAGCTCATTTAAGATCCTTCCAAGTCCTTATCGAAAAGCATCTAAAAGCACAATCTGTTCTTCGGCAGTTAGTTAAACCTATAAGCCTAGCTTTTCAGTGTCGAGCAGTAATGGTTGACCTGGCTGAAATATCCAAGAGCGAAAGTTCCTTAACCATTATAAAGCAATGCCCTACAGGTAAAAGACCTCATGTTACCGGAGTTGGTCATACAAAAAAACACCACTCAAGGACCAGTCTTTTTGGGTCAGACTGGGCTTGTTAGGGATGTGTTTGTCACATTTCCGTGTATAAATTGGTTGACCACATCGACTCATCTGGAGATAGTTTTAGCTAGTTTTGGTTAGTTACCTTGACCAATTGTTGAAATATCCCATTGCAAAGCAAGTAACCATTCCTTGGTTGCTTTGGGATAGGGAGACTCTTCCTGCACGTTGCACAAGATCCAGCGATCCCATCACAGCCTTCTTCTGCCCGCGACCGACTTTCATGGCACGAGGTGGGAAGGCGAATTCGTGTGTCTTGGAGTTGGTGTTCGCAGAATGGAAAAGGGTGGAAAAGGGTGGGCCCGGGGTACCGCATCTGGTTGGGCCTTCAGGTCGTGGAACGACCAAAGCACACACAAACACGGGGCGAACCCGATGGAGGGATGTGGGTGTGCATGGAGAAAAGGGAGACGGACAGTCTACCCGTTGAAGATCGGGGTTCGAAGATCGGTGTGTCCCCGGACACCCGCGACACCGGATCCCGACGTTCATTCGGGGCCCGGAGTTTCCAGGGGCCCTTAGCTTGAAAAATAGAGGTTTCACATACCAGAGCCAGGTATGGGCCAGGTGATGTTCTGGGGAAAATCCAAGTTTATGATGGTTTATGATAGTTTTCTGGGGCCCCGGGTATATTGTCCTTCACAATTCTACGGCGGGACCTCTTCAAAAAGCTTCCGGTGGGCTTGTTGACCCCCGTTTCGTCCGTCCTGGGCCGAGGAAGATTCCAGCTTCATATATATCCCGTGTATGAAGTGGGGTGATTGTATGATCATATCCCGTATATCCCCCTGAAGTCCGAAGGAAGTCAAGGAACTTCTTGAACTCGGGTCATCTAAAGACAACATCCAAAATGGTCGTAGCAAACGCTATCCATAGCTCAGAAACCTCCCTCTTCGGGGACTGAGCGCCTGTTTTTCTTCGCGGTGTCCGGAATCCGCTCCGAAACAAGGCGTCATTCCGACCTGGAACTGACCAGGACAAAGATCATTCAAAAAGATTCCATCTCAGACACTGCCATATATTTACCATGGCAGTTGGTGGTTTGGGTGGTTAAGTTAATGTTTGATCCATATCATGGAGTGTTTGGGTATATAGGTTGTCACGAGGGCATCCTTTCATGAAAGCTCTCATTCGAGGACCGCATGGAACCCCCAAACCCATGGGTTTTGGTCGAGGAGAATGTCAGTGTGCAAGGGGTGTCTGTCCACTTGAATTCACCAACCAAGGCCATAAAGGGGTGTCCTTCAATGAGAACTCTCATTCCAAGCCCCCATCTCAGCTGGGCAGTAGGACATGACATGACCGCATTTCTTCAAGTGGCCTTTCAACTCATCCGTGGAGTCCCAAACAGCTGCTTCGACGCTGACACCAATTGGGGCGCGGACACCACGTGCCACTGGGCTGCCAAGGCGGAAGTTTTTAGAAGCGCACGCAACGTTCCAGTGAGAGATGGCGGGCCAGAGGCCATGGCGAGCTTGGCATGGGGAAAGCTGTCCAGCTTCAAAGTGTTCTCTTACCAAAGAGTTCCCTATAGGGTTTCAACATAGGTGCCGTTTTGTGGGTGGACCCGACCCTGGCGCATCAATGTCACGAGTGGAACGGAGGGTGCTCTTGGATCCGTAGGGGTCGTCAGTGGGGCCTGGGGGCCCGATGTGGAAAGGGGGATAGGTGATATTTTGTGACCACTTGGAGCCTCAGGACCCACCAGGGTGGTTCAACATGGTTAACGGTCAACTGGTGTGATTTCTGCTGTCTCGCGAGACTGTCTCGATCAGTCTCACAGTGAAACGCCACGACGTTTGTGACCTGCAGTGGACGCCACCTAGGTTTTATATAAACCTTTTGGACCTCTGAGCAAGCTATTGATTCGACACCTCCTTAACGGGTTCTTGGCATAGAGTCACTTTGAACCAGGCGGATTCTTTTCCCCAGTCCGGCCCGCATCGGTCTGAAGAACCAGAACCGTTGTGACCAGCTGTATGTTGAGACTGCTTGGAGTGAATGGGCGAAGCAGGGCACAGTGAAACACATGCAGCAGTCAGCCGCCCTTGTGAGGATTTCACTCAAGAGTTTGCGCCTATCTCCACCTGCTCTTTCCCAGGAAACCACTGCCGTGGCTGTTCCAGATGTTGCTGATGCGGCATACTCAAACAATAGAGAAGCCATGTAAAAAGCAAAACAACAGTTGATTTTGCGAACAGATGGACAAAGTCGGCATTATACAAGGCCTCGGCGTTTCATTTCAACCACCCCATCAAACCAGCCAGCGCGCGTAGCTGGCTCGCAGAGCTGGCTCGCATGGGTGAGAAAAGGAACCATTTCACTCCAAAACTCCACAACTCGAGCCGACCAGTTCAGCTCACGAAGTGTTTGATTTCGCCTACACGTCAACAGACCAAGATCAGACCAAGATCAGCGCGCCTTCCGTCGCAGACCGTGCCGACAATGGTTGCGATGTTGCAACCATTCCCATTTGTGACCAAGCCTGAATCAGATAATTAGATGTTTCGAGCCCAAGAACATAGGAAGAAGATAGAGGGTTTGCAAACTGGTTACGTTCATTCACATATTCAACTCACTCATCCAATTCGTGTGTCTATAAGGATCTTTTCTTTTAAGATAATCCTGTTCTCATCCTTGAGAGCTGTGTTGCAACTTGTGGCGTCATCTCCTTCCCAAAACTCAGGCTAAGACTCAGCCGGGCGGTTCAATCTGGCAACTTACTGGGTTGGTTCAATCCAGCACTTTGCAGTATCATTTGGAATCCTCGACCATCCATGAGACTGGACATTGAATTGCCCCATAAAACATCTCAATACACCCATGTGGCAAATCCTCTATACATGGAGTGTTCAGGCATGGTAGCTGGCTTGATCTATGGCTGTTTATCGCGTGCACCCGTGATCGCATGAGCATGAGGATCTGCATCCAGTTGACCTCAGAAGCAAAAGGATGCATACACTGACCCCATAGGGTCCAGGTACCTCTTGAGGATGGTCGTTGCCGGGGGGTCGACATCCGAGCAACGGATGCTCCTGGACCCTTAGGGAAGGTCGGGACTGACCTGTTGTGACTGACTGTTGTGATGTTCGAGGGCTTTGGGCCTGAACCGAATCCCTTTCCAGCTAATTAACCTCTTTGATTTGGCATTCTGTTATACGTCAGTGCCACTTCTTCTGCGCTAGCTCAGTGCAGTTTCCCTCTTCGAAAAGGGTTCGAAAGGACGTCTCGATTCTCCAAACGTCTCGCGCTCCACCGGCGACACCGACGAACGAACGGGATCGGACCGCCCCGGTCGGAGGGTCGGCCCAGAAGTCCCACTGTGTTCACGATCCCATACCAGCATCCTCCAAGAGGCTGTTAGTTGAGGGTTGTTGGACCCTGTCTCAGGTCGAACCATTGGTGACCTGTTGGAAGGTGCTGGTACACATCATGCGTGGACTGGCATATTCCCTAACTCGGCCTCGTTGCGTCGGCCTCCGAAGCGCAAACCGGTTCCGTGGGACGACCGGGGCCCGGGTGCCCGCCAGTCGGGTCCAGTCATACCGAACCTGAGGAGGTACGACGAAGTCGGTGTAGGGATTGACATACATTCACCCCTTTTCAACCATTCCAATGTGGGTTATAGTATTCCAGTCCCACTATAGTCGTGTCTGGGGATGGGACTGGCAGATCATTCACCTCTTCACGGGTATAGTCTTCCAGTCCCACTATAGTAGATGGGACTGGCAGATGAATGAGACCTCTACGGGACGGACCTACGACGTCTTGGTCCGTAGGCGTTCGCTCACGTGTCCGACTCTTCCCCGACTCCAGCTGTTTACCAACCAAACGCCGATCAAGTCGCGCGAGCTTGGGTGCCGAAATCCTCCTCTTTTTCTGACCGAAGCTTGGTGCGATGAGGGTGTGATGACGCGGGGGGTGGTGCGGCTTCACGGCTTCACGGTCCTGGACGGCGGTGTGGTGTGGTGCAAGATGGGTTGAACGTCATGGCACGGTCCTCTTGGAAAAGAGGAGAGGAGGGTGAGGGAGGAACGCATGTTTCTTCTGCCTCCCCAAGCTAAAGGATGCCTCCACATCCAGAAAGAGGATGCCCTAAAAAAGACTCCTGGGCTTTGTGAAGGTTCTTGGGAAGTGTCATCTACCTTTGCCACGGATTTGTGGACAACATCAACACGTTCGACAGAATCTCAGGAGGAGAGAGGTCATCCAGTGGGTAGCATGTGTCTATGGCTCGCGAGTGGACCTAGAGGTTCACCTTCTTGGAGGTTGGGGGACACCGAACAGGGGGTCTAGCCACCTTCTTAGCATGTGGGACAGGATTTTTAGGAAAAGAACAGGGTGGACTTCCTTTGGTTCATAAGCTTTCCAGCGGAGGTGTAGTTGACTTTGTTTCAACTCTCAGGCGCTTTGTTCGGTTCTGTTCGATCTCAACGGCGTATCGTTCATGTGGCCGGCATCCGCTCCGAGCTCTTTGCTTCACGCTTCTCCTGGAGAGTTTTTGGTGAAAACACCCCCTTCTCGTTTGGTCAATCACGTGCTTCTACGCCTAAGGAGATGAGCAAAATTTGCCAGATCCGTGCCCGAGAGATCTTCGACTCCCGTCTGCTGGCTGCATCATTCCGTGTGGAGGGAAAGTCATCCGAAGATATACAGGGGTTTCAGAGTAGATGGCATAATCCACAAAAGGTGGTTTGTTGGCATAAGCCTCTTGGGGGTTGTGCCATCTACTCTGAACTACCTGCCAGGGGGTTGAACAGGGGTCACCTAGCTGGACAACCCTGCTTAGGACGGTCTCCGAGTCTCCAGAGGGCACCCATTGAGAGTGCTAGGTACAATGGGCTTGAAAAGGGGTCAATGTACCACCTTTCGAATTCGTTGTTGAGATCCCTACAAGTCAAAGACCTCATTTTACTGGAGATGGTCATACAAAACCAATACTTGAGGAGGTAAAAGACCTGGTTCTACTGGGTCTTTGGACTTGTAGGGGATCTCCATTTGTCGCACCCCAACATGAAAGTCCAGCTACAGTTCTCAGGTTTTGGGGGAACATGATCAGTTACTGGCTGAAGTCCAACTGCTCAGCTTGCTGACTGGATCGTTTGGATCGCTTCTGAACGGATTCCGTGGTCCGCGGGGGACCCACCGACCCCTCCAAACGCCGAAATCCACAGACCTTCGAAGGTAACAGTGTCGAACACATCACATGCGTGAGAAGGTTAGTACGACTGGATCCCTAGGATAGTAGTCCAAAAGGACTCCAAAAGGATCTTAAGATTGTAAAGATCTTGTTTTTGTTGCGACCGGATCGGTGTTGTGGAAGTCCAGACCTTTGCGACCTTGCCCAATCTTCACCACCGGGAACGGGTCCCAAAACAGATTGGCCACAACACATAGTTGCGAATTACATGACATATAGCCACTGGACAGCTACTTTCTTCCATGCGGAGATTTCCACCAAAACATGTATAATGTGCACCTTTGATTGATAAACGGGGGTAGCAAATGTTCAATCCTCAGGTTCCAAGAAACAATTTAAATTAGACATGAAATGATCATGTTTTTTTTTGTTTCGACCATATCATATGTGTGTATTTGTTGTTTGACATGTGCTAACTTTATTTGGGTGGTGTTATTAATCAGAGGTGCACATTACCAGGGGGCCAAAAACAATCAAACACCGAGTTTTCCCTTGGTAAGGTAAACCGGCCATTACCGTCGATACACACATCACCGGCGATCCCATTCAGCTGGCCCACATCGGCCGACACCACGGCCGACACTCCACCCAAACGCACCCTCGACACGAGCGACATCACTACCATTGTCACACTAGTAGCGATGGCCTCCACCTAGTAGCGATGGCCTCCAACCTACTATAGGGATTCGGTCCACTGGTAGTTACACTGCACTACCTCCCTTTTGGGCATCCAATGTGTGAGAGTGCCTGCCGTGCAGTGTCCGCAAGTTTGGGCAGGTGTCTTTCTGTTCATTGTTCAGGCCTCCAACTGTCTCTGTTTTCAGTTTTCAGGTGTTTCTTGGCTTGGTGTCCAGAGGGGTTGGGTGCCTATACTTCCTTGGAACAGATGTGGGACAGGAGCACAAAGAAGTGGCTTTCCTCTTTCCCGTGCTCCACATGCCGCGTGCCGCACCGGCCCCGAGGTGGAAATCCCACGGTGGAGGTCGACCTCTGCACCGATTGCGCCCTGTTCCGGGCAGCTGTGCCTAGTGGGGCCTCTACAGGCCGGACCTCGAAGCGGACAGTGGGACGAAGGCGCCGTACCTCAAATGTTTGCGGGGGACGAAGTACCAGTGGACCGGCCGGTTTACCATGAACAATAATGGTTTTGACTAATTTCTACACCTCCAAGTACCTCTTTTGAAGGTATTTGGACCCTCCTGGCACCCACCCCAAACACCTTCTCAGAAGCTACTTGGAGGCCTAGGGTATACGTACGAAAAACATGTTTTTGGGCTATACCTGGTGCATCAAAAGTCGTGT